GGGGGGGTCCCCGGGGGCAGCTGACCTACAACTCTGTGAGTTCGCCAGGGAGCCCCTGGGAGACAAAGCCCAGCGCCCAGCCCCCTCCCCAGCCCTGGCACACGCGGACACGCACGCACACGCACACACGCAGACCCACAACCACTCACAGCTCCTGGCAGACGGCGCGCCCCACGGCCAGCGCACGCGGCCACGCCCACAGCCGCGCACGTGTGCGCATTTTCTCCATCCCCGGGGCTTCGAGGGGAGGGGCTGGCGTGCGGGGGGCTGGGCGGCGGGGGGAGAGATCGGACAGACGGGGGGAAAGACGGGCGTTGGGGGCGCCCGAAGGCAGAAGGAACGCGAGGGAGAGGAGCGCAGAAATGGAGAGAAACCAGAGGGGGAAGAGAGCGGAGAGCCGGAGAAGGACGGGTGCGACGGAGGGGAGGCCTTGGAGGGCAGGGAAGGGCGCGACGGCGGCCCTGGGAAGGGAGGCCGTCGGGCGCGGGGGTGCGGGCAATGGCGGGAAGCGGGTGGAGCTGCCCGGCTCGTCCGTGACCTCAGAGCCCCTGGCCCAGCTCCGCCCTGACGTCAGCCCTCCTCCGCCCCCGCCCGCGTCGGGCTTCAAATGACCCCCGGGCTTCCCAGCCCCAGCGAGACCCGGGAACCCGCAGAAGAGGAGCGCCCGCCGGAGCCATAGCGATGACACAGGTGCGTGCGAGAGTGCGGTAGTGCGGGGCCCGCTGGCACCTGTGTGACCACGTGGGTGGGCGCACTGCGCGCGCTCCTGTGCGTGACGGCCGCCGTCAGTGTAGGACGGGGACCCCGTGAGGCCGAGTTCGGGTTCCATACCCCTGTGTGGGTGGCAATCCCGCCGGTAGAATAGATGTGACAAGTCCATGCTTATCCTGCTTTAAGTCCGCGCCTGTGTGCGGGGTGCGGGTGGGGAGGCAGGGCGGTATTTGCTTGACACATGGCCTGGATTTCTACTTTTTTGTGTCCAATAACTATTAAGTTGAACCAAACGAAATCGCCGCTGTCTGGTCACGTTTGCCCTTTGAAAACGGCAATTTCATGCAGTTCAACCTTAACCCTTACTTTCTTCTTGCTCCGGACCCAACCTTAGCCGTTACTATTTCTTCTTGCCCGTGTGTTTCTTGTCCTGTGGGCTTCCCTTCTAGGCTTAGCTCCTTTCTGCTCAAGGGCACGTGTTCCCAAGTTCCCCTGCATGGCTGTTGGTGGGGGTCTCAGGATCACTAAGTTGTTTCTTTAAGTTTATTTATTTCTTTATTTTTGAGAGAGAGCGTGAACTGGGGAGGGGCAGAGAGCGAGGGAGAGACAGAATCCCAAGCAGGCTCTGCGTTGCCAGCACAGGGCCAGACTTGGGGCCCGAACCCACGAACGGTGAGAACATGACCTGAGCGCAAACCAAGAGTCGGCCACTTAACCGGCTGAGTCACCCAGGTGCCCCAGGATCACTAAGTTCTAAGAGCAAGTGCCTGGGGAGATCTTCTAGAACATGAATGTTCTCCTATGTTGGCACATTCTCTGGGTCTCTTGTCATGTGTGAGTACATGTGTGGGGCTGTGTGTCCACAGCTGATACAGGTGTGTTTGTGAGTGTTGGCATTAGAACCGTCTGTTCACCCACCTGTCCCAGCATGAATTGGGCCACCCCCAGAATCTCAGTCAGGGCCAGGTTTAGGGCAAAAGGACAGAGAAGGAGAATTCCAGAAGAAATAATAATGTAATTATTAATATTGAGCATTTATTAGCACCAGGCCAAAAGCTCTATAGAGAACCTAAAAGTAGTATCCTATAGAAACATAAAAGTAAAGTGAATTTCAATAATATATGTTATTCAACTCAGTGTATGAAGGGTCATCAAACTTTTTCTGTACAAAGCTAGACAGTCAGTATTTGAGGGTTTTGTGTGCCATATGGTCTCTACGACAACTACTCAACTTTGGCCTGGTGTGAAATCAGTCACAGACAATATGTAAACAGAGGAGTGTGGTTGTGTGGCAGTAAGACTTGATTTAAGGATGCTGAAGTTTGAATTTCATGTCATTTTCATATGCAACAAAATTGGGTTTTTTTGTTTTTTACTTTCTTTACCCATTTATTTTTTAACTTTAGAGAGAGAGAGAGAGAGAGAGAGAGGCATTGAGAGAATCCCAAGCCAACCCTTGCTATCAGAAACATAATTTAATGGGACGCCTGGGTGGCTCAGTCATTTAAGCGTCCAACTTCAGCTCGGGTCATGATCTCCCGGTTCATGAGTTCGAGCCCCCCATTGGGCTCTGTGCTGACACCTCAGAGCCTGGAGCCTGCTTTGGATTCTATGTCTCCTTCTCTCTCTCTCTCTCTCTCTCTCTGTGTCCCTCCCCCACTTATTCTCTCTCAAAAATAAATAAACATTAAAAAAATATTATAATTTCATGAATAGATGCAGTAGACTATATTTGCTACAACATAACAAACTTCATAACAAGATTTTTAAAACTATCATTTCCATATGTAACCAATACGAAAATATTAATGAGATACTTTCTGTTTTTCAAAGGAAAGCCTCAAAATCCAGAAGCGTAGCACATCACATACAGATGCTATATTTTCATTGGAGATAACTTGATCTGTATTTAGATTTCATAAAATTTACACTTGAAAAAGTAGGGCTTCCCACGCCCTACTTGTTTCAGACATACTTAAAAGCTTTCCAATAACTGAATTAAGTATCAGTTCCTAAACTTAAATATTGAAATAAAATTAGAATTTCAGTTCCTTTGTCATTTTGGCTGCTTCCCAAGCGCTCAGGAGCCACACGTGGCTGGTGACTCCTGTACTGGACAACACGAATCTGTATCTTAACTCATAAATAAGCCCATGAGGCAGGAGCCAGTGACACACGAGGCAGTTGAGCATAGAGGACGATGCAGCCAAACTGTCTGAGTGGCCCTGGGCTAGAGAATCACCTCTCCGTGCCTCAGTTTCCTCATATGGAATAGGAGTGATAACAGTATCTACACCATGGAGCAGTCCTTGGCATGCAGAAGGAGCTAAATCCCCATTTTACAAGATGAGAAAATGGAGGCACCCCCCCCCCCCCCCCCCCCCCGCGTTCTGATTCTGAGCTCTTCCAGCAACATGAACTGGGCACTTGGCCCTGTTGGGGAGACCTGAGCAGTGGAGTTGGAGAAGGTGGCCATGGCTTTGGGAAGTCAGAGAAAAGATTCCTCCTCCTGTGAGCTTCATGACCTTGAGGGAGCCCTTCTTCCTGGCTAATCAGTCCTGTTTTGCCATGTGTATGGTGTCAGTAAACATTATTTGTCCCCCCCACCCTCTCCTGAAGAGTAAAATCAGTATATGAGCTGGTGATTCAGTGACCAGATTCCTGAGGTTCAAATCTTGGCTTCTCTGCTATCCAGGTGTGACCTTGGGCAGGTTGCTGCCCCCCTCTGTGACTCAGTGACCTGATCTGTAAAATGGGGATAATAGTAATAGTACCTATTCCTACGGCTGTTGGGAGGATTAAAATAAGTTAGTTTCTGGGGGCGCCTGGGTGGTTTCAGTCTGTTAAGACTGGGACCTCAGTTTAGGTCGTGATCTTGCCTTTGTGAGTTTGAGTCCAGCATGGGGCTTGCTGCTGTCAGCGTGGAACTGCTTCTGATCCTGTCGCCCTCCCTTCTTCACCTCCCCCCACCCTGGGCTCTTTCTCTCAAAACAGTTCCTGTAAAAGGCTTACAGCAGTACCTGATATATGTCAAACTGCATTATATTTTAGATAATGATGATGGTTGTATCAACACTAGGAAACCTTTGATTGTGAGATGAGTGATTATGTTCTGTGCCACTAAGATAAGAAAGGGGGGGGCGGGGAGAGAACCCCTGTTCCCCTGTGACATTCCCTTGAGTGTAATCCTCACGGATTGAAGAGCTGTTGAAAATGTGAAAACAAAAGTACCAGAATGCACATAATCAGGCATTAAGCCTTGCTGTTTGCCACAAT